CATAGGCCCTATCTACGGGGAAATTCGAACTGAATATAAAGCAAACTTTAATACCCGCCTTATCGTTCCATTATTATTATCCATTATATCGAGTAATAATAACGTTTCAATGATATAACTTGATATCGATTATTCAAATTTTTTTTTTTTTTTTTCAGAAAAATTAACGAATCGATTGATTTTCTAATTCTTTGTCAAATATCCATTCTCTACGATTCTCCAATTTCTTTTAAAAATCACATTTACGATTATTTATCGATTTATATATATATATATTTTTTCAAAAAATGAACATCTCGTTTATACCACTTCTCCTTTTCGCCGCAATAAATCTTATCGATGGATCATCGATCAAATTAGATTTAGAATTTTTGAATCTTAAAAGCGATCGATAATCCGGGATCGTTACTAAGATTCTTCTGTGATAGCGGTATCACGTCAATGGAATAACGAGTTGGTAACTTATCCCCGATGATGTAACTGAGATTGCGGTATCTCTCGAATGTCGCTACCTTGTTACGACATTCCCTACCATTGTTAGCAATCGTGGCTCGATTTCGCTCGATATTGCGATCAAATTGTAACCGAGATATTTACGATGTACCAATATAAATAAGAGATACTAATTTACCTTTCTACTTCCTCGTGTAATGATTTCGATATAATTTCTAAGTTACTTAAACGTAATATTATGCATTTTGAAAAAGAATTATTCCAATCAATAGTGTTATCAATTTATGATGTACCAATATAAATAAGAGATATTAATTTACCTTTCTACTTGTCTTCCTCGTGTAATGATTTACATGATAAAATTTCTAAGTTACTTAGACGTAATATTATGCATTTTGAAAAAGAATTATTCCAATCAATAGTGTTATCAATTTATGATATACCAAAATAAATAAGAGATATTAATTTACCTTTCTACTTGTCTTCCTCGTGTAATGATTTAAACGGTAATTTCTAAGTTACTTAAACGTATTATGCATTTTGAAAAAGAATTATTCCAATCAATAGTGTTATCAATTTATGATTTACCAATATAAATAAGAGATATTAATTTACCTTTCTACTTCCTCGTGTAATGATTTCGATATAATTTCTAAGTTACTTAAACGTAATATTATGCATTTTGAAAGAGAATTATTCCAATCAATAGTGTTATCAATTTATGATTTACCAATATAAATAAGAGATATTAATTTATCTTTCTACTTGTCTTCCTCGTGTAATGATTTAAACGATAATTTCTAAGTTACTTAAACGTATTATGCATTTTGAAAAATAATTATTCCAATCAATAGTGTTATCAATTTATGATTTACCAATATAAATAAGAGATACTAATTTACCTTTCTACTTGTCTTCCTCGTGTAATGATTTAATATATATTTTCAAAAAATGAACATCTCGTTTATATCACTTTTCTTTTTCGCCGCAATGAATCTTAATTTTCGGTAATTTCTAAGTTACTTAAACGTAATATTATGCATTTTGAAAAAGAATTATTCCAATCAATACATGTTATGAAATATTGCAATCAAATTGTAATTGAGATGCAATTTATCTTTGCGCAATATAATTGGTTTTAGACGTAATATTATGCATTTTGAAAAAGAATTATTCATGGATCAATATTCCAGTCGAATTATAATTGATATTGATTATTCAATATACATTTTTTTCAGAAATTAACGAATCAATTGATTTTATAATTCTTTGTCAAGTATCCATTCTCTACGATTCTCTAATTTCTTTTAAAAATCACATTTAAAATTATTTATCGATTGTATTTTCAAAATATGAACGTTTATACCACTTCTCCTTTTCGTCGCAATAAATCGATGAATCATCGATCAAAGAATTGTAATTGAGGTACAAATTTACAGTGTACCTTTTTCTATTTATCTTTCTCCCTGTTTGCACAATATAATTCGAATCGTTCCGAGTTAAGATATTACGCATTTTGAAAAAGAAATATTGTAATCAAAAATATAATTGAGATGCAACTCACGATATACCTTTTTATTTATTTTTCTCACATTTACACAATATAATTCGAATCGTTTCGAGTTTAGATTTAATATTGTGCATTTTGAAAAAAAATTATTTCGATCAATATTCCAGTCGAATTATAATTGAGATACAATTTACAGTGTACCTTTCTATTTATCTTTCTCCCTGTTTGCACAATATAATTTGAATCGTTCCGAATTTAGAATTAATATTATGCATTTTGAAAAAAAAATATTGCAATCAAATTATAATTGAGATACAATTCACGATACACTTATACTTTTTACTTATATTTTTCTTATATTTACACAATATAATTCGAATCGTTTTGAGTTTAAACGTAATATTACGCATTTTGAAAAAGAATTGAAAAAATTATTTCGATCAATACGTGTTATCAAATACATAAATATTGCAATTAAATTATAATTGAGATATATGTTTCTATCTTTCTCACATTTACACAATATAATTCGAATCGTTTCGAGTTTAGACGTAATATTGTGCATTTTGAAAAAAAATTATTTCGATCAATATTCCAGTCGAATTATAATTGAGATACAATTTACAGTGTACCTTTCTATTTATCTTTCTCCCTGTTTGCACAATATAATTTGAATTGTTTCGAGTTTAGACGTGATATTACGCATTTTGAAAAAAAAATATTGCAATCAAATTATAATTGAGAAAGCAACTCACGCTATAGTTTTCTACTTATCTTCTACTATCTTTCTCACATTTATACAATATAATTTGAATCGTTTCGAGTTTAGACGTAATATTACGCATTTTGAAAAAGAATTATTTTGATTAATACCTGTTATCAAATATTGCAATCAAATTGAGATATATCTTTCTACTTATTTTTCTTACATTTACACAATATAATTTGAAATTGAGTTTAAACCTGATATTACTATATTTTGAAAAATAATTGTCTCAATTAATATTATTTCAATAATTATTTCAAACATTGTTTACTTGAAATATGAAGTAATTATCCTCTATGTATATAAAATACCGTGCTAAAGGGGATAGTAATCGCGAAATTCGACAATTACACAATAATGTAACTCGAGTTAGTGATTGCAGTGTATGGGACAAATGATATATATATATATATCATTCGTGATAGAGTAATTTAAATTTACCGTAGAGCGTTATGTGTAGTTATTAATAATGTAATGAATAATTTATAGGCGTCATAAACTAACATCAAACAATCCTGCAGTGAAATGCATATGAATGAACAAAATGTGGTACCGTTGAAAGTGAGTGTTAAACGAACCGTGTTATCCTTTCCGTGAAACGGAATTGAAAATGCGTACCACTTCTAATTAGACGACAAATAATTAAACTAAGTCGAGCCGTAATACGATCACTATGATAATAATCGAAGAATCAATCGTGATATGATTGAAATACAAATAATATTTATTATTTGTATTTACATATTAATTATAAGTAATTAATAACTTGAGAAGAGAGAAAGTTCATTTTATTTTAAATCCAATTACGAAAATTGCAACTTCGCTTTCAAACGTCATCATCATCATCCTTTATTTTTCATTCACTTTTCTCCTCGTTCAATTGTAATTATTTTCGTATTTGTTGATGCTCGTAATCGATATCCTTATTATAGTATAATTACTTCCTCTGTGCCGAAATTTGAGGAAATGGAGGTTTGTTCAATTTCGGAATAAACTTCGAAAAGGTGAACGTTGAACGATGCTCTTCGTTGATCGCGGATATTCAAAGCGAAAAATTTAATCCGCGTCACCAAATTGTTCAAAGATCGATACGAAAAGAAAAATTTTCGAAAGATTGATTCCCCGTGAAAGAAAAAAAAAAAAAAAGTACAAAGTTTCTTTTGTAAACGAATTTTCAAGTCTCTGAATTATCCATCCACTCTTAATATCGCCTCTCGGATATTGGAGACGTTTCAAACTTTATAATGCACTTCCATCCCTCATCAAGAATGCCGTGGAAAATATGGTAGACATGTTGTTGGAATAGAAATTAGAAAGTTTGGGAAAAGTTTACAAGCCTCGAGGCTCTTGTCGGTGTTGTGATAACATTTACAAGTTGAATCCATTGTCATTCTTCGAATCATTATTTTTAATCTTTTAAAAACAGTACACGGTAGTAATAATCCTCACGAACTTCTTCTTTTTCTTTTTTTTTTTTTTCTTTCTTTTCAATTTTAAAACTGCGAGAGAAATTGGCCGAGCAACGTGCATCGAAAGAACGAAAAGAATTATTTTTCTCGCTTTTGTGCGTTTAAAACTGGTTAAAAATGCGCTGTTTAAAAAAAAAATCTTTTCTCCTCTCCCCCCCCCCTCCTTTATTTTTACCTTCGAATGAAAACAAAATGCGATGAAATAATAATTGAACGAAATTGAAAGAGAATGCTTGGTTCTCTGATTATAAAATATATACGTGAAAGGTACGTTTTTTTTTTTTTTTATAAAAAAACAATACAATTTTCATTCATTTTAATTCATTTTTCAATTATCGGAACACTGAAATGAAAGAATATAAAAAAAAGACAGAGAGGGAAAAATTGTAGATTGAATCAAATCGATCTACAATCCGATCTACAATCATATTTTACGAAATCCTTCGTAAATGAGATCGTGGAACAACGATCTCAATTTCGAAATAGGATTTTTAAGGAATTGCGTTAGACGAGGAAAAGGGGGAAGGAAAATAAGGAGGAAGTTCAAGCGAGACTCCCCCCTTTTATTTCCCCCATTCTCGTTTTTATTCGATACGTCAATACGTCAAACGTGTCGAGAATTATATCGTAGATTTATATACCGAACATGATGTGCACATTGTCGCATAGATAATCGTGCATATTGATAGATATAATGGAAGCAAATTTACAATTCGATATCGAAGCGTGGGATCAAATTATCTCGTCATTTACCGTGTATTTAAGTACAATTCGTGTAAGGGATTAATCGGTTTGTTTTCAGAGAGAAAATCGGATGGGGCAACGCGATGGACCTAGTTAAACGGGAATGCGAGGATATTTTGAAACAGACTCGAGAAAGTGCGGAGAAACAATTTCACGAAATAGTCGAGCTGTACAATGAAACCAGAGAAAAGGTATTTGGAGGAAAGAAATTTAGTAAAAGTTTTGCTTCAATCGCTGTAACGATCGCAATGAAACTGAATTTTTGAAATAGAAATTCGAGGGGAGGAAAAAATTAACACTGAACGTTCAATCTCGATGTATGTATGCCTTTTCTTATTTATTTTATCGCATTTTCTTTTTTTTTTAATTATTAAATCTGAAAGAATATTTCGCAAAATATTTGAACACAGTTCACAGTTCTTTTCTCAGAAAATTTATATATACTAGAAAAGAAAAGAAAATTAATATACCATAATACAACGATAGTATTCTTCGTAGTACGAGAGATATTCGAATTTTCCTTGACGGATAGTTGGAGGAGAAGGGGGGAGAGAAAAAGTTTTGGATGCAATAGAGACGGTACATGCGCCGTAAACCGACATCAAAGCACTTTTTTAATTGATATGCATTCAGTCCAGCGTTGTAGCCATCCTTTCTACAGGCTGCGCATCGTAAAATGTGTGCGCCCTTTGAAACGTCGCCTTTTTCATACGCGAAATCGAACTTGTCGCCTTTTCGTTCCCTCTTGAATATGCAGCGGCCGCCAGGCATCGAGTTTCGACTGTGCCAGGTACACAGACTTCCACCAGCTTAAATTACCCTTTTTTTTTTTATTCTGACTCGCTCTCCGATCCTCTTAATTTTACCGTTAAGTTTTTATTTATTTAAGCACGGATAATGCACATCGGAATGGGCTAAGTTAATGGGCATCTAAATATCTCTATATAACGCCTTATCTCGAAATTTATGATCTACTAATGATCGTTTTTTAAACGTTTGTTTGCCTATGTTATTCTCCAAAGATATGGAAAAAAACAAATATAGAATTTCATTACTTTAGAATGATGCAACTTTGTCCCGAGTTTGAGTCATGCAAGAAAATAAAGATATCGAAGGTAAAGTAGGTATCCTATTTAACCGGTACATCCTACATAAGTGGTGCTCGATATTCTTTTACGATAAAAAAGAAAAAAAGAAGAAGAAATGGTAGTAGCTGTTTCATAAAACGTAATCGAATTTGTCGCTGAAATTTCTTCGCGTTCTTAACCGTGCTCGATGTAATTACTGATAAAATATTCTCGAGTTCGTTTGTAATAAGTGGGATACAATCAACGTCGGTGTAAAAAAGATTTAAAGTTAATCAGTTGCTACTATCAGTTTATCGTTGAGAAACTGTTCAGAAGCGTCCTTAAAGGGAATCTCCCTGCGGGAAAGAGAATTCCGTTGGCAAGAATTTCGTGGAATTTCAGAACGTATTTTCTTTGGCGTAAAAAGCACATCAGCCAAAGGTCTTTCGTAATTTCTGTAGGGAGCACGTCAAACGCAATTATCTTTATCTACGAGGGACAGATACAAGGATGGAAAAAAAAAAAAAAAAGAAAATTGCAACTGATCATCTATTAAGTTAAATCGAATTTTCTAAATAAATCTAATTCAATTTTCAAACAATTTCATTTGAAGAATTTATACTCTTTTAGATTGTAAAATGAAACTTTTTTAAAATCTTCATTTTCGTAAAAAAATAAAGAAAATTACAAGTGGCCATTTATTGGGATCAAATATCAATAATTTTCTAAATAAATCTAATTCACGATCGAATTTTCAAACAATTTGATTTTTCAAGAATTCGTATTCTCTTTTGCTCTAAGATGAAAATTTTCAAAATCTCGATTTTCTATATTAAACGTTCCCGCGAATTGCGTTGACTTACTCGATCCACAAAGTTTTTATTGCTGCATCTACATTGTTCTCGGAACATTCATTAAAGCCAAATTTAACTTTCCAAGTTGAATCTTCAATACAAATTACCTCTCTACCTTATTTTACGTTATAATATCTTGACGATCTTTTCGTGTTATAGTTAAACTTCTGTCTAGTTAAATAGAAGTAAATATCATCCTAATTTTAGTTCTTGTTTTTATAACTTATAATAACTGATTATACAGTTGGTTATATAAATAAGTATTTTATTCATTGCTTCCAACATATAACGACTTTTCGTTATATTTCATTTTCAAGATATTAAACTTTCAAACGTGAAATGAAAACAATATTCATCAGTGTCGGATATACAATTTTTTAATAATCACAGCAATGAAATCTATTTCTGTAGTGATTTAATATTTACGTCACAGGATAATTAAAAGATAGTACTTGAAAAAAAGTTTTAGAAAAATAGGAAAACTTTATTTAAAATTTTAAATTCAATTTTTATACCACTCCTTTGTAAAAATTAATATCTCCATTTTTTCCTCTCGTGATTTTCACCAGAAAAAGAAATCGTAAAATATAAAAAAGTATCTCGATACAGAGAGAAATTTTACATTATCAAATTGCAGCATTGTCATTTCATCATAATTCTATATATCCATCTTTCCTTCCTCCAATTAATATCAAAAGTACCCTTTCTTCCCCACGTGATATCGATCTTTTCCATTTCTCTCACGACAATCGTCCATTCTTTTCGTCCATTGCATTCTCAAGGAACAACGAGCTCGCGTAAAACGAAATTGACGTTAAATGTTTACGATCGGTTCCATTAATTTCGCCTGAAAAGTGAAATTCTAGCAACGTGTTCCCCTCGTATAACGTATAAATTCTAAATCGTGGAAACTAAAATCGGTACACGGTTTGTTAAATGATGTTTCATGTTTTAATGAAAATCACGTTACATCGTGAAATTGTGGAATAATAACTTAGTGGAATAATAACTTAAATAGTGGAGTCGCCGTATAAATGGTTTATTAATTTTAAATAATTAAATAATTAAATTAATGGTTAATTAATTTCAAACGGTAAATTAATTCTAATTTAATGGCGAAAAATTACTAAAAGATGGATCGTTGATGGAGAAGAAAATTCATTTTCGAGATATAATTCTGAAAAACAGGACTCGAGACGATTAAAGTTTCGATGAAGATAAAAGTTTAAATAAAATTTGTAAAATATAAAAAAATACATATTTTTCCATTTCATAGGGAGTAAATATTTCTTTTCAACAATATCGAAAAAATGAGCCTTGTAAACGAATTTTCCTTTTTCTAAAAAAAAAAAAAAAAAAAAAGAAAGGAAACTCTTTATTTCGATCCTTGTTAAAGAAGTAATAAATTCGAATCGTATATTTAATTATCTCGGCGATGATGTTTACGATGAAACTTTATCCGAAATCATATTACCAGAATTTTCGCGAAACACAGTTACAGAAAAACTAGTCATCCGAGAAAAAGTTTCGCATTTCGAAACTCGCGATTCGTTTGAAACGCGTGTTTGTCGCCAAGTTTTCCCGATTCGTTGTATCACTTGCAAAATTTGGATCGAATCGGAAGAATTATAGCCGCCGTTGACCTCATCGTTTTACGGATCGGATTCGAATTTCGAGTCAGATTCCACGATTTATTCGACGATGATTCGCAATAGGGGGGAAAAAAAAAAAATAATAACAATAAAAATGAAAACATTAAAATTCGAGAAAAGAAGTGAAAATTGAATTCCATCGAGTGATAAAAATTCCGTATTGGTGATTTTTTGTTCTAATAGGTGAGTCGATTGGAAGGGCAGGTGGGAGAATACGAAGATCTGAAAAGGGAGCACGAGAATCGAAGTTTCGAGTTGGCGAACCTACTTGAAACTTTAAAACGTTTCGACGTGGATGTCGGCTCTGTCTGTCAACTTGGAGCGGAAGGTAAGTATTATCCTCCACTTTCAGATATATCCCATCCCCTGTAAGCCAAATGTATCCGTTTCCTGCTACAGCTTTGAGGAACTTGACCGAATCGGGCAACTTATTCGAGGGAAGCATGAAGAATCTCAGGCATCTCGCATGGACCGTGAAAGAAAGAAAGGATGAGCCGCAACTCGTTTTATTGAGAGAACAGAATTCCGTTTTGAGAGAGGTTGTGAAGAATCTTAAAAGGAAGGTAGGAATCTCTGACTTTTTTTTTTTTTAATGGAAAATTTTAATGTTATTGCGCCGAAAATTTTGTGATTGATCGAAGATAATTTCGTATTCGAAACACCATTTTGTTTGAAAGATCATTCATGTTCTGTTCTAGTACATTTCTAGTATATTTCTAGTACTATTCTAGTATATTTACGCTTCGATATATATTTAATTGGAATTAAAAATGCGGATTAAGTCAGAATGTAGGATTGAACTGGTACTAATCGTATAAAAAAAAAATTAATTTCAAGATAATTTATATCGATTTATAATGTTTGTTTTGCCGCATATACGGAAAGTACAAAAGATAATATGTTTATCAAACTTTCTTCTCTCTAGTAGATGTAAATCTTTTATTATTTTCTCGTGAAGAACGAATAACAGATTGTTGTCTACATTCACTTCGTTACAATTGGATACAAAATACTTCGGCTGATAAATATCGTATAGGTAGAATACGACAGAATAAAACCAATCCAATGTTCCATAAAAGTCAATTTAGAGTTCCATAAAGGGCGCGTTATACGATTGCGTACGTATGACTTGTTCGAAATTTCATCGAATCAGTTATTTGCATGTCCTCTTTTCCCGGCAACAATACCGTGGTTCTCTTGTCAAGCTATTTTCATTATTTTCATTATATTTTTATGAAATATGTCTTTAACAAGGAACTAGAATTATACGTCATTGTAAATTTAGAAAACAAATATTGGATTTTACAATGACTTAGCAAATATACACGCTTAAAAGCATATTCAGAATAATTCATCAGAATGGAATGGCTAATTAGATTGTAATTAAAGATAGAAAAATATGTNTCATTATTTTCATTATATTTTTATGAAATATGTCTTTAACAAGGAACTAGAATTATACGTCATTGTAAATTTAGAAAACAAATATTGGATTTTATAATGACTTAGCAAATATACACGCTTAAAAGCATATTCAGAATAATTCATCAGAATAGAATGGCTAATTAGATTGTAATTAAAGATAGAAAAATATGTAGAATAAGAAAATTAAAAATATTCCTTTTTTTTTTTTTAGTCATAATTAATGTATTTTTATGAAAAATTATGAATTATTTTAGTAACGAATACATACGTTGTTGGAACAAAGTAAAAAATTTAAGAGATTATTGTAGGTTGTAAAATAAAATAAATTACAAGCAATTTAATTTTATATTATGTGAAGCAAGACAGAGATAGAATGAGATGGAAATACTTAGAGAGATGCTTCACTCTTTTCCTCCTCTCTATCCATCTCGCTTCATCAAGTACAAAATTAAATTGCTTATAAGTTGAAAAATAAGCTTCGACGAATATTTTTGTACCAACTTTTCTATTTATCTCAGTCTTTAAAATCATTTTTTAAATGTTCTATCTATCTCGTCTGAATATATATGAAAAAAATATGTATTAGTAAATTTCATATTTTGTGAATGCAATAAAAAATAATAGGAATATTTATATTCGCGATGTTAGTGCTGATGATATAAGCTATAAAATAATGGCATCGAAAAATTTCCATTCCTTTCTGCCTTTCCTTTCCATATGAAATCCCTTTTGATCATAAATTTTACATCGATGTGAACATGCATAATCGTAAATAGACGAACCCACTTTAAAAAAACGAAATAACGTAACACTTTTACAAAAATTGATATTCCGTTTGATAAAATATAAATTTTATTTACCTTTTTTCTCCTTTGGGAAACTTGTTAAATAAAATTTTACAATTTTTCGTAATTTCGTCGAATTCGTGTTTCACATGCTTGTATATGTCGAACGAAAAACTTGTAATCACTTATCACTAAGAGTCATTTTCATCTTATAATTGTATATATATTTTTGCATTACATTTCTCTACATTTTTGTAAAAATTCTTTATAAAGTTTCAGATGCTCAACAAAACGCACAATGAAATCCCGGAAAAAGAACACGAAGAACAACACGAACGTATGCTTCTAGAAAATGCAACGAATTCGCAAAATAATAATGACAAGTTATTACACGAATCAGAATTCGATAAAAATATTGTTCCAGCAGTGGAAAACTCCATAAACTTGCTAATTCACGAGAATAATAACAATTATACGAAGGAATGTAAAGAACACGTTGAAAATGAAATGCGCGGACTAACTGACGGTTACAAAAATGATAATCGAAATAAGCGTTTCGATATCGAGAATACAAAGATCGATAAATGTGGACGAATACTGTGTATAGAATCTCATTCGAATGGCGCGATATATGAAGAATATGTGATCAAATTATCGATTAATCGAGAAATAAAAATTAAATATCCTATTGTATTGAATAACAACGAGGCAATGGTTAGGTTAGAATTTATGGATAACGAAATCGATTATGAAAAGGCACCAATAGACAGAATGTTGATATTATTTAAAAATATACATGCAGTCGTAAATATTAAACAAACCGGTGTACCGTGCAGTACGCAAACAACGAAAATAAAAACTTCCAACAACTTTACGCAAACTTCATTTACTGGAATAAATTCGTTTTCTCGTTTAAACGTCGGTGTTACGGTGAGTGAAAAAATTTTTAAATTTTTACTTTGAATTGAGTATCTAAAAATTAGATTATTTACTAAACAAGGAATAATACATTATATCTTACAAAAAAGTTAAAAAAATTTATAATTATAAAAGAGATATTTTTTATACATGCTATTTTTTTTATAAATACATTCTAAGAGTATATTATGTTCATATCACGATAATAATAGATATAACTAATTTTGTTATAAATATGATTCGTATTCGAAAATTACGAAAATATTAATCGCGAAAACTAAAATATGAAATCGTTTATACTATATTTCTTATATTATATATACTATATTTCGTACAATACAATTACAAAAACGTACATCGATTTCATCAGAATGATGATGTCTGGTATAAAATATCAACTTGATTTTTTAATTAAATATAGATGCTCAATAGTGAAAAACGTGCAATAGAAAGAAGTCTCTATAATTTGGAACGAACTGTTAACACTTTAAAACTCAATGCATTAAATCAAGTTGAAACAATGATCACTAAGGATTCACATTTGTATAGAAATAATGAAAAGTTAAATCGTATCAAGATATTGACTCAGTAGCATTGTGCACAACAATTTTTATCATTCTTTCAAGTGCAAGAATTTTTAACATTATAAAGATGTTTTTAACTCATCACAATATCAAACTAGATTTGTTATCATAAATGTAATAATACTTGTCCTATTCAATTATACATAAAAAAATACCGCTAGGAATAATTGGTAAAGATGTCCACAAGTTTAGAAAAATGTTAGTCATTATTGTTCCTTAAATCGTTAAAAATGTTGTAAGTTAAATCTTACAGTATATCTATACACGCACAGATGTACATTACATACATACATACATACATAATAAATGTACATAATTGTATAGATTTAATTGTATTTAAAATCGTAATAATTATCACATTATTTTCATTAAGAATTAAATATTTATTTCTTTTTGTTAGAAATAAAGGTGCATTCTACACTATATTCTCATACGTGAATAAATTTTTTTTTAGAGAATCTCAAAACATTTATCCTCCACATTTATCCTTTTTTTTTTCTTTTTTTTTACATAGAAGTATAATTTCATTACATATGTGCAAATGGAAAAAATTTTTTAAAAATGTGAAATGCAATTCGTGGAAAAATACGTATATGCATAAACCTTAAAAGATAATTCTTCAGTTTTTTCACATATACTTCTCCTTCGATTGAAATATATAGAATTTATATATAATTCATATGCTCTTAATTCAATATTCTATATTCGAGTTTTAATTACAATACGATTAAAAGACGAATTATTTTTAAGTTTCTCATTAAGTAACAATGAAAATTTGATTTATAATATAAACTATTTCTTACAATTATGTTTGCCTTTATGGCAAATAAAATAAATAGTTTTAGCATGCACTATATTTCTTAATTATTCATCGCGCTGAATCTCAAATCTTAGAAAGACAATATCAGAAACAGTTTAGTTCCAATGTTTTTTATGTAAAATATTTTTAAAAACACGATGAGTAAAAAGGTCCAGGAAAAGGCGATATTATGTTAAAATACGATAAAAGATTAGAGGAATGTCATTTTCATACTAATACGTATGTTTCCATAACCCTGCTCTTTCCCTTTCTCTTTCTTTTTCATCATCTTTGATTATTTGCTAATATCCTATCTTTGTTATAAAAAAGATTCAAAATTGATTGCTAGATACTTATTTTTACCTATACTATATTCCTCCCCATCACTTATTTTTCAATATATTTTTCAATATAATAAATCGTTTCTAGAAATGGAAAGAATTTTCTTCGGCAGCTCTGAATTTATCCTTTCTGTTTTTTATGTCTATTTGAAAATGTTCGATTATAATCAATGTGTTGAACCTGGCACTAGGAGTTTGCATTTCTAGTGATACTTTGAACAACACGCTGTCCCCACCAGGCTTCAAGGTTAAATGGCTCAAAATCTTCAAAAGAAAAAAATATCAATCAATAGATCAGTATATATAAATAACATAAAAAATTATATAAAATAATATAAAAAAATATATATAAAAATTAATATATATAATAAAATATTTACCTTTTAGTTGTGGATTTGGTTCTCTTTCTTGATAATATGTAACAGATGCTCCATTTCTATAATTAGAAGAATTACTGTGCGGTTGATTATGACACATATCTAACTCTCTTGATACTGTATTCCATGCTAAAATAGAAAAATTAACAAAACTTAATTATTATATAAAATTTTTTTATATAATATATTTTATATAATATATAAATAAAAACTAATAAAGAAAAATTATATATGATATTTACAATCATAAATGTACTTAATTAAGTCGAAATGTTGAGCTACAGTTTCAGACTGATGTCTTGATGGGATTGAAGATGGTCTTTTTCCATTCATTGTTGTCATTTGTGATCTACCACTATAAAAAAATATATAATCATAAATATATCATAAATATTATTAAATAAAAATATATATATATATGTTATGAAAGCACAAAATAGAAGTATCACATTAACAATCACTACTTTTACTGAATTGGCGTATTAAGTTCAGTAGGTATTCTATTTTAAGATTTAACGATTTTATAATAATTGAAATAAATACAACTACGAAATATAATAATGAATATTCGTGTTTCGTAGCATTAATAAAAATTGATAAGACAATTATAAACACGCATAAAATTTAAATATAAAAATCGAACAGATTTTATTTATTAAAATTTATTGACATTTGGTATAATATGTAGATTTTAGAATATTGCTTTATACAATGAAAAAAAATGGACGCCATTTTGATATAATATTACACAAAATATAACCTTTCATTTCGCATAATAATATTTTATTTAATATCGTACATAATTATATATCCATGAGCAATAAGTAATTTTACAAAAAAAACAAAAAAAAAAAAAAAAGAAACAAATTACACAAAATACAATATACAAAAGTCAGTACAATAAAATCTATAGTTGATAGAGAAAAGCCACGTATACATGTATATATTTAGAATTTATTTCTCATATATTTTCCCAAGATTCTTTTCTTTGAAAATCTTTAATAAAACAAAACATGATGGATCATTACTGCAATAAAATTGAAATTTACAAACAATATATAAAATATTCGATGAATTAAAAAATATATGAAACAATTAATACAAAGCCTACTTTCGAAGAGAAAATGTCAATAGAAAATGGCGGTTCTCGCATGACACTGCGATGTGATTTCGTTCCCGCCTGTTTTTCCCTTTATCTATTTAATATTATTTACTTTATAAATCATAAAACTATGGGATCATTGGTAATTAATTAAAAATAAATTTAACAATATCCAAATAGAAAATAATATCACATGCAATAGAGGTTACGATAGAATAAAATGTAGAGACGCGGGAATAAAGAAAGTTATTTTTACAATAAATACCTCATTTTTTCTGTTCCAACTTTTACGCCAGCGCAAATTCGTGCCTAATATAGATTTATTTTATATAATTTTCTAATCACTATCTACGAACAAAAGTATAAATATTCCGCGGAAAATAAACAGTTGAAAAGCTGTAACGAGAAAGAGCGTTTGTTTCTCGCAACAGCTGCAGGAAGCTTTCCTTGCAAACTGTCAACAATGATAGGTCGAGTATTTAACTCGGACGGTAAAGTAGAAAGAGGAACTAGTGGCGACAATTTAATACGTACTAAAGATAAAAGCTGGTGAATGATTCTATCACAAGGTGGCGAATTTGCAACGTTCCTTGGACGCCATTTTGTAATTATGTTATTTGAATCGTGCAGTGGTATAAAAGTGTATGAAATTTTATATGCAATTTGAAATATCAGTATTGAATTGAAAAATGTGATTTTAAGAAATTATATGCCATCTTTCGATGTAATTTTTTCGGTAAATGTTTTTATTATATTTTTAATCCTAATTTATCTAATCTAATAAAGATATGATATGATCTCATCTTATAGTGATTATATCTCAATAATTATAATATGATCAGATAAGATACGAATAATAAATTATATATCATTATTCATTTATTAATCTCAATTTCAAACAAAATAATATAAAAATATTATATGTAATTAAATATTCCATTACATACATTGAAATTTTATTGAACAAAATAACCTATAACTGTTTAACGAAATAAATATATGAATACATATAATATTTCGATCAATTAGAAGATAAATCAATCAGAAAATAAAAAAATATAGCATATTATCTTTCTGCATACAATAAAACTTTTGAAAAAATTATATATTTTGAAAAAAATTATATATTTTTAAAGAAACATACTTTTATATTTGATTTATTGTAATAATGTATTCGATGATAAATATTGGCAATAAGAATTGTCGTTTTTCAAGCTGACAATTTCGCTATGAAAATGTCAACTTTACGATAAGTATTGTACTTAAAATGATGCTTCTTGACTTTAAAATTTCGAAAAATTTGCATTTTAAGCAACGTAACCTAATATAAATACAAAATATAACGTAATACAAGTTGTATTACTATGCGTGTAATTATTTATCTAAAAATAATGTATAATGTTGAAAAATAATTTCGTTACAAAAAGAAGGTCAAAAATGAAATATTATTTTAATAAATTAATGTAACGATTACGTATAATAAAATACATCGATCATACAAATGATTAATATAGTTTAGGCATTGAAATTTTTAAAGAAACCGTTAACATTAATAAATAGTATAATATATTTTTTAAAAATTTTTGAATGATTACTGGTACCATAAATCATTTTCTTCAGAACCAATAACTATAAAATCTGACCATAAATCTAATGACCTGGTCAGGTTGGTTTGTGAAAGAAATTCCGCTGCGTCAAATTTTCAAAAGTCGAAAAAAAACTTAATGCTGATTCGTTAATAATTTTTTTTTTAATCAATTTTCCATCGATGGAAAAATGAAAAAACGCGATTACATTTACTCTATGAGAGCTCAAGAATAGAACTTGTAAATGAAATAACGCCGAATCGAACATATTGTGTTTTCTATTTATATATATATCTAATTAAAAATTATTGAAAAATAATTTTTAAAATTATAAATAAATGATAAAAAGTTATAAATATAAAAATATTGAAATGTTTAATTTGATTTTAATAATAGAATGAAACATATAAAAGAGAATTATTAATTTCATTATCATATTTAATTTTTTATCATCAACTTTTTTAATCGGAATCATATATTTTTCTATGTCTTTGTTGTGGAAAGAAAGATCAGTGATTTGATCAATATATTCTGATAAGTCTGGTGTAGAATTAAAATTGTTGATTGCAATCTGCTGATTATTTTTCTTTTAATGAATTTGTAATATATATATATATATATCAAAAGTATTATTATTTAACAAACATTTAACATTTTGCTTTATATATAACAGATTCCAGAATTATATGTATTATATGTATTATTATATGTAGCAAGAGTGAACTATATTTAAAATTTCTTGTAGATTTTATATATAAATTCTGAGAATAAGTATACGTGTTAATTAAATTTTTAATAAAGAGACTATTGATGAAAACTTTTTAAAAATAATTTACAAAAAAATTTACCAAGTTGATCAAGTATTAATGGAAAAACTTTTTCAAAATTATCTCATATTGCTTGAGTAAATATATTTTAACAGAGTTACTCAATTAAAAGTAGGATAAAAAGGAAGAGAATATCACGGATAAATCTGGGATAAAAAAAAAAGAAAAACGATCATTTCTC